AAACATTCTTTATACTTTGTGATTATATTCTGGGCCTATTGCAAAGGGAAACTCTGTTACTCCCTCCCTTACACTGATGACATTCTGGACTTTGATGAAACCAACTCAAGTGGGAAAGGAAACTCCATCCTTTACATATCAGATCTTTTTGGAACCTTATTCCAAAAAGTGAACTTCTTGACTAGAGTGAGAGCTTCTAGAAAAAATGGAGAGTATCTTGGTAGAAATTAGGTTCAGATGAGGATTCTTAAATCATATGTATAAAAACAAGCTTAAAAATACTTATATAATTTGAATATAATAGGTTACATTACTGTATTTAAAGAAAATAAAGGAGAAATGACAAGGCACATTGGGGAAGAAAGAGATGATGTATGCCAGGCAGGTTAAGCCACCATCACCACCTTGATCACCATTTTCCCTCGGATCTTGATGGAGCCATCCCAGGACCCCAAACCCAAGAGCTTTTGAGATAGCAATGCCTCCCAAAACATCAGACCGGCTTCTAGCCCATCTCCCATAGCTCTCACTGAGAGGAGAAATCATTGTGGAGGAATCCCCCTTCCTTACCACCACTAGCAACAACTGTTGACTAACTTTGCCTCCAAGAGACTTCTAAGTACAAAAGCCCTGAGAGTAACAGTATCCTCCTCTCCTACCCCACCCTAGTCCTGCTTCCACCCCTGCCCTCACAGTCATCATCATTAATGGAAGTGGTTCCTGTGGAGAAGGGGCCAGCCAACTCCACCAACTATCAAACACCACTCATAGGGCAGGCTAGCTAGCCTATCTGAAGTCAAAAGGGAATGGAGATGACAGGCAGCACCAAAGTGGAAAGGAAGAGCAAACCCCAAAATTCACAACAATGTCCAAGAGGGGAGGCCAATGTGTGGCAAAGTCTGGGCTTCATGCTAGAAGGGGGTTAGTGCTGGATGATAGATGGTGGTCCATACAAAACAAAAATAAAAAGTACCCTTAGGGAGAGACATAAGGCAAAATGTACCAGGTAAGTCAAATCACCGCCACTACCACCTTGACCACCATCTCCTCTCAGACCCAAATGAAAGCAGCCCAAGACCCTAAAACTAAGAAACTTACGTATAATAGCTTCCAGTCCAGTATCCCCAGCCATTATCCTGAGAAGCAAACTCTGTGGAGATGCAGCCTGGTGACTGTTCCTGCAGAAGATACTGACACAACTACTAAAGACCCAGAAAATATGGTTTTTGCCACTAAAGTCCTTAACACTGTCAAGTGGTTCAATATCATAAACTGATAAGATTTTATCAGTGGAAATGACATTAAAGTATAAATTACTTTGCTTCTCTCCCTTAAGGATCATGGGACTTTTCTATCTCTTGCAACTGAAACCTTCCAAATATGTTGTCTTCCCCATTTCTAATTTGCATAAATAATAAGTACTTAATAGAGGACTTAATAAACTTAGTAAGACTTAAAGTCTTTTTTTTAATTCAAATGACAGGAATACTTTTACAACTATGGCTAGAGGAAGAATTCATAACTAAGCAAGGGATATAGGTGATCATAAGACAAAACATAGCATTTTGATACATACAATTAAAGTTTTTGTAAGAATATAATCAAGGCAGATATAGTTATAAGAGAAAGTATTAAAAAAAAACCTTTGTAATATATATTACTGATAGAAGCCAGAAATAAAGATAAAAAAAAAATAACAAGTAGATAGATTAAAAGTGGTCTAAGAATGTGAACAAAGTTCTCCAAATTAGAAATACAACCTATGAATAACATGAAAATGTTTCAATCAATAAGAGAAAAACAAATTAAAACAACTCTGAGCTGTTACCTCACACTCCGCAAATTGGCAGAGGAAGTCAATGTTGGAAGAGATATGAGAAGACAGGTCTATTAATAATAATTAAAGCTCAGAATTGGCCCAACTGTTCTGGAAAACAATTTGTAACTACGTAAGAAAAGTAACTAAACTGTCCATACCTTTTAACTCTGGGATCTTATAGTCATATAACCCAAGGAGATCAAAGAGAGACAGTCCAATATATACTAAAACATTCACTAAAATACCTTTTGTGTCTGTTAAAATTAGAAACAGTGCTATACTACCATCAATTGGGCAACAGGTAAACAAACTACTATGTGAATATATGGAATATCATGATGAAGAAATGATAAGTAGGAATTAAACATGGCAAAATTTTTGTAAGAACTAATGCAGAGTGACACAGGCAGAACTTACTATATTTCTATACAACATCCAAAATAACTACAAGTGAAAAAATAACTAAAAGGAAGATAAAACTCTGAATAACTGAAAAATCAATAATGTTCCTGGAGAAGAAATGAAATATACCTTTCTATTCTCAGTAGGAAAGACATTAAGAGAATGGGATATCAGATTATTTGATTAACTGTCTTTTGGTTTTGTTCTGATTTAAAGGAAGATTTGTTACAATTGCAAGGATGCTAGGGAGATATCCAGAAATGACTGTGATGTAAAACCAAAAGGCATTATTAACAAAACCTATTTTTAAAAAGTGAAATAAAAGAAAATGGCAATTTTGAGTCAGCATTGAGGTTCATCAAATAAAAATCATGCTGGACTAACTTCATTTCTTTTAGAAAAGGTCTCTAGACTGGTAACTAAAATACTATTGACAGAATATACTGGATTTCAACAAGGCCTCTGACAGTCTGTGCAGGAGACATCAATGTGTGCTGTTTTGACTAGATGTTTTCAGAAGAATTAGACTCAAAAAATTAAGATTCTTTGGTACCAATTGGTATTAAATTTGGGGGAGCTCTCTAATATAAGGCTTCTATTGGGGATATGGATGCAAACAGAGATGGTATGCTTTTCAAATTGGCAGATAACATATGTAGACATTGGCATAATTATAAAGGTCCAATAATATCTCAAAATATTAGAATGAAGGGTCAAATAGAATTAGATGAAATTTAAAAGGACAAATGTAGCATTTGGATTAAAGAAAAAATCTGCCTAAGTACATAATGAAGAAAGACAGCTAGATGACAGTTTCTGTGAGAAAGATTTTAATGAAATGAAAGCTCAACGAATCAAATGTGACTTGGTAACTAGAAAAGCTTACATGACTGAAGGTTGCAGTAACCAAAAACCAATATATAGAATATAGAAGTTATAACATATAAAAAACATAGAGGGGCAGCTAGGTGATACAGTGGATAGAGCACCAGGCATAGAATCATGAAGAACTGAGTTTAAATCCAACCTCAGACACTTAACAGCTGTGTGATCCTGGGAAAGTCATTACTTAACCCTGTTTGCCTAAGTTTCTTTATCTGCAAAATGAGCTGGAGAAGGAAATGACAAACCATTTCAGTATCTTTGCCAAGAAAACCCAAATTGGGTCACAGAGAGTCAGATACAACTGAAACTACGGAACAACAAGAAGCTACAATCCCCATTATACTCTACCCTGGGCAAACCCAAACTCTGGATAAAAAGTTCTAGGTGCCCCATTTTAGTACACAATTTAGTAAAAAAAAATTTAGTAAACAATCCCAAGTGCATCTATAATGGTGAGTAGACTCAAAGTCATGCCATAAGAGCATCACCTGAAGAAACTTACATATTTTGCCTACAGGAAACTTGGGGAAACAAGACTATTTGCCGCTTTAAATGTCTGAAGTGCTGTCATATCGAAGAAAGATTTGATATGTTTTGTTTTACCAAAGAAGTTGAAATAGGACTAAAGGATGGAGGAAGGCATCCTTCAACTCAACATAAAGAAAAACTAACACCTAGGAATAAAAATGGAATGAATTGCACCTTGGGAATCAGTGAGTTGCCCATCACTGGGGGTCTTCCATGATATCATGTCATAAATAAGACTATTTGCTCATGATGGAATTCTGGTTCAGGTATGGTTGGACTGGATGACCTCTAAAGTTTCTTCTAGTTTGTTTTTTTTTATGATCATCTTCATTTTTTTTCCTATATATAACCTAAAGCCTGGCCTTTAAACAATAATATTAATCTTCCTGTGCTCCTCAATTAGGATGTGATCCACAGACAGCATGCTTACTGAGAGATAACTTGCTTAGATTGGTCTGTTACCCTGAAAGGGGAAAAGCTAACAGGAAAGGTTTGATAGAGTAGGGGGAAGAATGCAGAGGGATTTTGAAAATCATAGAATTTTAGAAATGGAAGTGACTTTTAAGACATAATCTCATCCACACTCCTTATTTTTATACATCAGATAACAGTCCAAAGAAGTTAGTACCTTGCCCAAGATCACTAGTAAATTAGAACTTAGGAATTCTAATGTCCAGTGCTCTTTCTACCATTTCTCCTGCTTCTTTGTACAAACTAGATAGCAATGTTTGGTCTCATGCGGAGGTCTTCAAAGAAAATAAAGAAGCCATATACAAGTGTTCCAATTTCCTATAACATTAGAAGTAGCTATATCAAAGATAAGTACAGAGATAAGCCTTTAGAACAGGGTTTCTTAGCCTGGAATCCACTGACATCTTAAATAGATTTCTGAGGTCATAAACTTGGACTGAAAAAAACATTACATCTTTATTTTCACTTACCTCTTGAAATTTAGCATTTCCTTCAATTATTTAAAAACATTCTGAGAAGGGGTCTAGAGACCTCACTAAACTACCAAAATAATACTCAAAAAGATTAAGAATTTCTGCTCTAAGGGCCTGGCACATACTAAGAGCTTAATAAATGCTTCCTGCCTTGCTCTAGAACCTATCCCAGATATCATTCTTTTAAGATGCAATGACAGATTTGTACCGAACCACACACGTGTGGAATATCCTCTCATAATTAATTTAATGTATTTGAAGGACAGATGTTCAATGAATAGTTATTTCAGTACAATATGAAACTTTCAAAGTAATTTTTAAAAATTCTTAGAATTTAAATTTGTAAATAAACAAACTTTGTTACTTCTCATTTTTATTTTTTTTTTCTAAAAATCAAATGAACAGTTATTTACAGCTGTACACTTTCAAATAAAACTTTCCTACTTTGGTCAAAATCTCTAAGTTTAAGAATATCTACATGATTTATACTCATACAAAGGTTTGAGTGATTCAATTTGTAATCAACAACACGATACTTTAATAATTTTATTGTACAACAATCCACACACCACCATACATTTTTTACCTTAGCCTAAGTTTTAAAGTGCTGTTATCAGATGAAAGTAAGCAAATGCTCCCAAATACTGAATTTCTTGCAGGCCACAGTGTACTATAATTGAACAATAAACTGTATTTGTAAAAACACTTTAACCTGGTTTTTCGGTTTAAAACCGGAAAGAGTAATAAGCTTGAGGAACTATTCTATTAAATGAGCCAAAAAAGTATTGTAATGTCATCCATCTCAATAAAGGGACAAGAATTTAGACATCCATAATTACCTAATCTTAATAAAGAAGCCACAATTATTTATAGAAACCATATAATAAAGATGATAAGCCAGCATGGCATAGTAGATAAAGAGACAGTCTTTGAAGCTAGGAAGAACTGGGTTCAATTCCTAACTGACTTTTTTTGGCTGTGTGACTCTGAGCAAGTCACTTAACTTCTCAGTGCTCTAGACTTCTAACTCTCTTAAAACAGTAAGTTGTAGGGAGGGTACCCACTTATATGGTTGAGGAGGCTTTCTTATCTGGGGGCTTCCTATATCAATGAAACTGAAGGTCCAATGCCATATCTGTATCATCCTTATATAATAATGTAGACACATCCTTTAAAATTGAACATCAAGTTCGGGCATACAATTGTTTTGTGGTTTAAACTTACCTACAATTAATTTCCTTCAACTATTAATAAAAGTACATAAATATAGTAAATATGCTACATTTCAGTTGCAATTTCAAACATTTGCTTCTACTTGCTTACTTTGCAAAAGATTTATTATCCACACCAAGTAACAACACACAGATAATGCCAAACAATTAAATCATTAGCTATTATTACATGTTTTAGAATATTTTTAATGCTTTAAAAGATAAACTTATAAAATACACTTGTGCATGAATCTTTCAAACACATAAACCAGTAAAAACTGAAATGTAATAGCCATACTAAATGAAATTAAATACTCAAAATATCATAAGGGAAAAAGAACAAATATCTCATTTAAATCAGTGCACTTGGAATTAAGATATGCTAAAACTATTTACTGAAGACAAATTCAACCTCTTCTCCCAAGACTACAATGTTTGCCTAAAAGAGAACATAAATTAGAGCTATTTTAAATTACTTTAAAGGATTACAGAGACTGAAAAACATCCACCTTTGAATTAATTTTAACATCAGTAAGAAACCAAGTTTATTACAATTCCATATGTGAGAGTGTTTAGGAAACAATACTTCTGTTTCCAGGGAGGAAAAGCCTTTAAAATATTATTATTTTATATGTAATATAGAGGATTTGGTTTTCAAAAAAAATCAGCTATAGTAAGAACATACAACAAGCACTATCATCCTATATTATTAATAGCTTAGAAAACATTTTAAAATTCATTCTTTCCTATTTGTGTATGTTACCATCATTTTTATTCTCCTTGTCCATTATGTCTGTAAATTTTATTTTCCTATTAAAAACAAATATGAGATACTGTTTAACACTCATTTCTCTCCATAAATTATTTTTTAAAATAATCTTTCTTAGGACACAGACATGATTTAAAATAGGAAGAACAAACAAAAGTATTCCATAAAATGGGATCTCTCTTGAATAAAAAATTTAGATGAAATTGCTAGTTGACAAATTACATATTTCCAACTCACAAAGACACTCATCAAAGAAAATTCAGTTGCTAACCAACTAGTTCAGTAGTAACTTGAGGAAAAAATGCCCTTAACTCCATCACAAAGAAATGCAGAATAATTAAGATGGGAGAAAAAACTATTTTGGTTTTTTCTGTGTTTTAAGGAAAACACACATACACACAAAACAAGCATGGCAAAAGCATTTAGGAGATTATGTAATTATAATGAGTTAATGCTAAGGCATCCTTATGCTCACATTTCTCATCCTAAGCAGCATCAGTAGATCTCTGTACTACATGTCATTTTGGTATTCCAGATACTTTGCCGCGATGGGCTCTTCAAGCTGAATTCCTCCACTTCCCATTAATGCAAATGCAGGATACATTGCACCTGAGCAGTCCACTTGGCGCTCATAAAGGCATTTCATGTGATCTGCATCATAGAACCCAACTTTGCCTTTATCATAGTCGAGGAAAATTCCTATACATGTTGGCATGGGAAGAACTCTGTTTTCAGGTTCACTGGAAGAAGTAGGTGACTTGGGAACAAAAAATTTCTTCATGCCTACAGTAACTAATGTAAAGGGTTGTGCTGAGTCAAAGCAGGTATCTTCACTTCCACTGTCATGACCGCTATCTTGCTCATATCTAAAATGAGAAAATAACTGTAATGCACAAATTATAACAAACAATTTTATCTGTATCATGAGACCTACTGTATTTTCACATACACATTCAAATATCACACTCTGGTCTAAACAAACCTCTCTACTGAAGTATAGCTAAACATTTAAACTTTTTAAATAGGCAACGAACAAACAATAATTAATGTAAAAGGTAATAGGCAAGCAAGTTAATAATAGCTTACGTTTGTATAGTACTTTAATGTTTACAAAGCACTTTCTTCCTAATGACTCCTTACTTGCCTTAATAGCTGGGATTTGAACCCAGGTCCCTCAAGTTTAGCCTTCTCCCCAGTAAGCCACACTTAAGACACCTATCAAGAAAATCATTTGAAACAAAAGCATTACAACAACCATCAAAATCACCTATTTTCTATCATTGTCTCCATTTCCACCTCTGTTCTTTTATGTTCTAAACAAATCTCCATTAGCACTACATTCATGTTTCACTTTTTTCCTATAATAATTTCTCATCTATTTTATCAAGAAATACATACTTTACCTTTTAAGAATTATGGGATTAAAGGAAAGATATCACCATTCCTCATTGAAAAGCATGAAAATCTTTGCCACTCTTTATTTATTTTGAGAAGAGTAGATAATAGGATTCTATTTAATTTAATAGGAGCAGTTAGGTGGCACAGTGGATAGAGCACTGGGCTTGGAATCAGAAAGACTCATCTTCATGACTTCAAAATCAGCCTCAGACACTTACTAGCTGTGTGACCCTGGTCATTTAACCCTGTTCCTCATCTGTAAAATGAGCTAGAGAAGGAAACAGCTTCAGTTTCCTCAGCTACAAAATGATCTGGAGAAGGAAATGGCAAACCACTTCAATATCTTTGCCAAGAAAACCCCAAATGGGGTCACAAAGAGTAGAATATGACTAAAATGACCGAACAAAAATTTAAATTAATAGGCTAAGGTAAACTCTTGGGCATGGATTTTTTAATTCAGAAAAATCAGCAACTTTTTTTTGGATTCCCAGGGCCAGAACAGAATTCCCTTGTTTGGAGGTTGGGACTACAAGGTGCACAAGGGCTATATGTCTAAGCTATTTCCACCGATCCTCATACAATGTAACTACAATTACAAATGAGTAAATGATACTGGTCACCCTCCTAAGGAGATTTAGCAGATTTAAGAATAGAAAGAAAATCCTAGCTTTGATCATATGTCCATTTCAGCACTATTATATAAAATCATATTAAAGGGAAGTTTAAAAAAAATTTGTATTCACCACAGAAAAGCACATGTTACCATAATTACTTGTAAGGCCATTGGTTGGCCATTTTTCAGTCGTTTTTTGTCACGACCCCATTTGGAGTTTTCTTGGCAAATATATTGAAATGGTTTGCCATTTCCTTCAAGTCACTTTACAGATGAGGAAAACAGAGGCAAACAGGGTTAAGTAACTTGCTCAGGGTCATACAGCTAATAACATGTTTAAGGCCAGATTTGAACTCCAGAAGATGAGTCTTCCTGACTCCAAGCTTGGAACTTTATCCACTGTACCACCTAGCAGCCCTGAGGTAAGGCAACTAGAGTACAATAATTCAGTGGTATCTCATCCAATAAGAAACATATTTAGTAACAATACAACAGTAACACATAAAAGCTCTATAAATGAAGATACTGAATCTTTTTAGACCTACCATGAAGTGCAAAATAAACCTTAAACTGGCCCAAAGTGACCACATTCTAAGAGAGTAAAGAAGAATCTACCTCGGGCTACTTATATCACGAGGATTATGGAGCCATTCTTGTAGTTTATCATTGGAAGCAACTCCCACTTTAACCATGTATGAATATGGTTCCACACGTAAGGCCCAAAAGTGTTTTCCTTTGGTGATTCCAGTGTCTCCGAAAATATAATCTAAGCTTGTGTAACAACCCACTTGGATACGTTCAGCAGCAAGCAGAAGAGAAAATCCAGCTCTACTATCCACACGGTCTCTTTTTAGATTCAGCAACAGATGTTCATTGTTATATCCACATTTTTCATCAAAGAGAAAACTAAAAACTTAAAAATAAACAACTAAAATTAGCTTGAAGCTTATTAACATTTCAAAATTGTAATATATCAATTGGAGTAAAATTCTAAATAGATTTTACTGTTAAAAATCCATATCTATCTAATAAAGTATAAAATTAAATTAAATTTCAACTTCTTTGTACACCTACAGCACAAAACTATATGAAGGTTGATACCTAAAACCACTTGTGATGACAACTGAAAATTTTTTAAAATGTATTTTTAAAAGACAAAATGCCACAAAAAAAATAAACCTATATGCTTCCCTAGTCATCTAAAAAAACAGAAGAGCTGGCTTTGAGTGGAACCAAAATCTTATTAGCTAATTTCACAACTCTCTAACTACCTTCAAAACAAGATGACCACTATGCTCAATATCTAATTCATAATGGGGGAGTTAGAACAATACAACGCTGCAACAGACTTCCCTTTTAAAATATGTAATTCGGATTGTAAAGATTTAAGGAGCTACAAATGTTTTCTTCATATCCCCAAGACTACATTGTATTGATCATATATCCCTTGATCAAAGTACCTCAAAACACAAAGGAAAAATTTCACAAATGTGTAAGCCAAAACTATTTCAACTATCTATTATGATGTTTATGGGGAGGACTGAGTGCTGAGTAGAAATTGAGACCTAAGCAAATCTAAAAACTAGATTAAGGCACTTGAAAAAAGTAAGACAAAAAATTAAGGAATAAGCACAGGTGACAAAGAAACAAAGCTATCATTTTTGGCAGATTGATATGATGGTATATTTGGAGACCCCCCCCCCATAGTCAACTAAAAAACTAGCTGAAACAATTAACAACTTTAGCAAAGTTATTAAAATAAACCCACACAAATCATCAATACCCAGCAGGAAGCTGGAGAAATTCCATTTAAAATAACCACAGAAAGTATAAAATACTCTCATGGGAATCCACTTACCAAGACACACACTGGAATTACATAAACACAACTACAAAACACTATTTATACAATTAAAGGTATATCTAAATGATTGGAGAAATAGTAATTGTTTGTGGGTAATTCAAGCTAATATAACAAAAAGGCCAATACTACTCAAATTTACTTATTCAGTACTATAGCAATCAAAGAATTATTTTATAAAGGTAGAAAAAATAATAGCAAAATTCATCTGGAGGAACAAAAGGTCAACTATCAAGAGAATCGATGAAAAAAGAAATGTAAAGGAAGAAGGCCTTGCAGTACCAGATCTCACACTACACTACAAAGCAGTAATCATCAAAACAAGAAATAGACCGGTTTGATGAATGGAATAGATCAGGTACACAACATACAGAAACAAGTAAGCACAATAATCTAGTGCTTGATAAACCCAAAGATTCCAGCTATCACAACAAGAATTCATTATTTGACAAAAATTTCAGGGAAAACTGGAGAGTAGTCTGGCCGAAACTATGCATAGACCAAAATCTCACATGATATACACCAAGATAAGGTCAAAATGGGCACATGATTTATACATAAAGTGTAATATAAGAAAATCAGGGGAGCATGGAAAAAAATTGCCTGTCAGATTCATGGACAGGGAAGGAGTTCATGACCAAATGAGATAGGTTCACAAGAATTAAAATGGGTAATTTCAACTACGTAAAATTAAAAAGTTTTTGCACAAACAAAACCAATGAAGCTAAAATAAGTAAAGTAGGAAAGTGTAGGGGGGGGATTTGCAAGTTTCTCTGATAAACATCTCATTTCTCAAATATATAGAGAACTAAGCTAAATTTATTTTTAAAATATGAGTCATTCCCAACTGATGAATGGGAATGAATAAAAATACAATTTTCAGATGAAGAAACCAAAGTAATGCTAATCACATGAAAAAATGCTCTAAATTACTAATAATTAGAGAAAGCAAATTAAAACAACTTTGAAGTACTACCTCACACCTATCAGAAATGACAGATACTGGAGGAGATGTGTGGAAAATGGGTAACATCGATGCACTAATAGTGGAGCTGTGAATTAGTCTAACGACCATTCTGGAGAACAATTTAGAATTATTCCCAGAGGGCTATAAAATTGTGCATACTCTTTGACCCAGCAATACTGCTATTAGGTAGATGAAAGGAAAAGGAAAGAACCCATACATACAAAAATATTTATAGCAGCTTTCTGTTGTCATAAGGAATCGGAATCTGAGGGGATGTCCATCAACTGGGGAACAGTTAAACAAACTGTGGTACTTGACTAACATAGATGGAATACTACTATGCCCAAAGAACTGACAAAGCAGATGGTTTCAGAAAAATCTGAAAAGATCTATATGAACTGATGCAAAGTAAAGTAAGCAAAACCAGAACAATCTATATAGTAATAGCAATATGGTAAGGGAAAGCAACTGTGAAAGATTTCGTAACTATAATCAATACGATGATCCACCACAACTTCAAAGTACTCATGATATAAAACGCTATCCACCTCTAGATAGAGAACTGATGGACTCAGAGTAGAGATTGAAGCATTTTTTTCTTGCTTTTTTTTTTCAGAACATGGCTAATTTGGGAAATGTTTTACATGATTGCATATGTATAGTGATTATCATATTTCTTGCTTTCTCAATGGGTGGGGGAGGGGTAAAAGAAGAAAGAATGTGAAACTGAAAATAAAAATAAAATTTAAATTAAAAAAAACAAAATGAGACAAAATATAAGTGGCACAATAAAGGTTTTTTTTTAAAGACACTGAAATGAAGGTATCTGACCTATTTAGTGACACTTAGATGTCAATTCTAAGAAACCCAGGTTTGAAGCGGGGAGAGGGGAAAAAAAGGAGTTAATATAAATTCACAAAGCATAGAAGAAGATAGTTTTCTACCTTATATGACAATAAATAAGTGAATCTACCAATTAATTTAAGCCCAGACCTGAAGAACTGATAGTTCAATTTGAATTATTTTAGAGTACTTTGTTTATCCCTCATCTACATGTTTAAAAAAGAAATCTTAAGAAATTTCATAATTGTGATTTTGAAAACTTTAAATTAAGAATTACAAATTTTTCCTTACCAATATTAACAGATTAAAATATGGTAGAACTGACCAACTTTCACAATCCTAGTTTATAGCTGAGGAAGGGACCTTAGCTATCTAGTCTAACCTCATTTGATAGATGGGGAAACTGAGATTTGCCCAAATTTGCCCAAGGTCAAGTGATAGAATAAGGAATGGCCTAACTGTTCTGACTCCAAATCTAACATTCTCTATATTATACTGCCAAGTAGTAAGAGCCTTCCTTTCTTACTATAAGATTCCTTTTTCTCTCTGTGTTCTTTCTATACCCATTCCCCAAATGTTCCCTCCCCATCCATCTATGACCAACTTCTACTTTTATATTCTCCCCTTCAAACCAGCGAGGTCAAAACAGAAAGATGGATTTTAAAATGTTTATTTCTTTCATTCAACAATCACTTATTGAGTATTCATGAGTAAAGCATTCACTGTACCAGGTGCTACTCTGAGAAACACTGACACACAAAAGACAAGTCCCTGTTATCAACAAGTTTCCAGTCTAGTAAAGGAGATATGACTATGTACCTCCAAAACAACATTACAAAGTAGTTAGGTGGCATTCAACCTCAGAAGAAAGAGATCATTTCTGATTGATTAAGAAAGGCTTGGTAAATGATTAGGTCAACTAGACTATTTGGACAAAGCAATTTTCATTAATTAACTGAACAAAAGTTAAAATGGTAGGAGGGTAAAGTGCATTTCAGATTTGCAAATCTGTCCCAAACTCTTTACATCTCTTCTTAGAGGGCTCGGCCTAGAGTCAGGAAGACCAGACTTCAAATTTGCCTTCAGACACTTTTTGCTTTGTGACCCTGGGCAAGTCATTTAATCTGTCTGCCTAAATTTAGTCTTAGAATATAGGTTGTTGTGAAGATTAAATGAAATGATACTTGTAAGGCACTAAGCTCAGTACCTGACATACAGTAAGTACTTAATAAATGCTCACTCCTTTTCTATAACTATACCTTTTTAATCTCCAAGAAAACCAAAATAATTTTAATTACTTAGCTAAATAAATATCTATAAAGGCCATGCAAACCAGTATCAGACACAAGTTTTACTTCAAGACACGAGACAAAAGAGGAAGGGAGAAATACCATTTGGATATACAAATGGTAGTTCTGATAACCAAGTCCAATAAATTTTCTTTAGGCTTACCAATAAATCATAGAAACAGGGTACTTTTAAGAACATAAAACTCATTTAAGAAAGGATTTATGTCTTTCTGATCTAAGTGAATAAGCTATCTTCAAACATCTAGTTTCATTCCTCAATTTCAGATGTAGTCCTCAAACAAAAATGTTGATACATTTAGTTCTCAGGTAATTTTTGTCAATTCTAAATCAGTATGCTGCCCAAAAAAAGATAGATATCATCACACTAGAATCGTTTCAGGTAAGTCTTAACTAGTGGGAGAATTTGTAATTAGATTATTTATCAAGACCCTTTTTAATTCTGTGTTTCTTTTGATTGAAACTTCATAATACCTGGTGCTGGAGGAGTATGGAAAGTAACTTCTCTGCTGCAAGGACTACAGACAGAACCTTTATATCCTCTCACTCTGAAGGCATAGCTACTGTTACTTTCAAGATCAGAAATTACTTTGTTGGTGCTATGGACCTCTATCTCATTCCATGTTAACATTTCTTCTTCTCTACTAATCTTTCGATATTCAAGAATATAACTATCAGCTTTATTCTTCTTTTCGGGATGATGCCAGCATATCAAGGCTTTATTATATATTTTGCTTTGTTCTTCGTTGATCTCTGGTATATCTACACCTAGAATGAAACAGAAAGGAATATTAAATACATACATTTTGGGCCCAAGTTTTTTTTTTTCTTCAAAAGCAACTATACATACTATCATGCTTCTCCATGGTTTCCTGCATTGCCATTAAAAACTGTTTGAGTTTTTGACATTAGAGAAAACAAATATGTATATTTATTATTACAATTAAAAGAACAAAAAACAAAGAAATGAAAGAAATATCTGGGAAATGAGAGACTGAAGTAAAAAAGACCATATATCATACTTATAATGATATACATATAATAATCTCTGAATACCATCTACTCTATTTTTTCTTGGTTAGAGATAATTTTTAATTTGTGTGTTGTTTCTTTAAATATATTTTAATCAATTCAAAGACCAAACCTTGGGGATTTGACTTTTAAAAAATGAAAATAAAATCACCAGAACATATTGAATAAATTCAAAATAAAAGTTTTAACAACAATTGCATAATTTCCATTCATTTTCTTCTTAAATAAAAATTAAAAGCGTTTCAACTTAGGATAAACATACTTAGAAAAAAATTTTAATTTGGGCTTTTGAGAAAGACATACAAATAAGCATGAAAAGTGACTCGCTTTTAGAAAAAAAAGGATAATCTGTTAATATTTTGCTACCAAAGGTAAAGGATGTATCCCTCTTTTCAATTAATAACTGATAAACTGGGAGCATTTATTTTGTAGGTGGAGTTGTATATGAATAATGAAGAGAAGTCTGTTTTTGGCCAAATAAAATGTTTCAATAAATTTAATTTCTTAAAAAATCATTTAATCAGGAAATATAAAAATCAACATTTACTTTCAAGAGAGGAGGAAATATTGATGTTATATTTATAGAGTTTTCTTTTTTTGGCTTGATATCTTGAATTTGTTTAATTCTTGGAAAGAAAAATCCTGATACAACATTAAGTGCAATCAATCAATCAATCAAAACAGAGTATAATACTACAGGGGAAAATATCCCTTTAATGAAATAGAGGACTTCCAAGCATTCCTAATGGAGGGACCAGAGCTGAATAGAAACTCTGAAATGCAAACAGAAGTGTCAAGAGAAACATAGAAACGTTTAAAGGACGATATAATGTTGAATTACTAACAAGCGAAACAAGTTTCCCCTTAGTACCCCTAATATCTTTAAGGATCAGAAATATAAAGTAAATCTGAGTTTTTTTTTAATATATTCATTATCTTAAAAGGAGAAAAAGGAAGGAAAAAAAGACTATCCTAGGGGAGAAATGGGTGTAAAACTTTATCTCAAATAATCACAGTGAAAGAGAAGACTATGGAGGAGGGGCAGGAGAAGCAGGAATCACATGAAAAATTCACTTTTATCTGAACTGGATAAGGGAGAGCTGAACACACACAACCCTCCAAATGTGGAGAGTGGAGTATAAAGTGGGGATTAAAAGGAAAGAAAGAAAAAGTAAGAACCTGTGATTGGGGAATGGGGAATGGAAACAGAAAACAGGCAGTGAAAGAGAAGCAGTGTGTATTAATTATAGATTACTACTGAGGTGGTAGGGGCAATTAAAGAGAGGTATAAATGAGAGAATAGAATAGAAGGAAACACGCTATTAACAATCATAACCATGAACATGAATGGGATGAATTCATCCATAAAAGGGAGGAGGAAAGTAGAACAAATTAGAAAGCAGAATCCAACAATATGCTGTTTAAAAGACACACACTTTAAACAGAAAGAGTCATACAAACATTGAGAGACTAGAACTAAATCTATGTTTCCAAAAAAGTAAGTATACCAATCATGATCTTACACAAGACCAACAGTAAAAATACTTGAGTAAAAGAGATAAAAAGGTTAACTATATAATGCTTAAAGGCATCTCAGACAATAAATTAATATAATACAATATATAAGCACCAAATGGCATAGCATATAACTACTTAAAGGAAAAGTGAACAAATTAACAATGATAAAGATAAAACATCTTAATATACCACCTAGACAAATGTAATAAAAAGATAAACAAGAAAGCAGTGAGGGACCCAAATAAAATTTCAGAAAAGTTGGATATAATAAATTCCTTATGATTTGGACATGCCAATATGACAAAAATGAAAATGCTGCCTAAATTAATTCATTTATTCAGGGCCATACCAATCAAACTACCAAAAGACAAAGAGCTGGGGGGGGGGGGAATCATCTAGAAGAACTAAACATCTTCAAATATTTCAAAGGAAAAAAGTTTTGCAAAGGAAAGGGGACTTACTAGTAGTGCCATATATATCAGACTATACTACATTCATACTGGTTAAAAAATAAGTTCGTCAATAGAACAGATGAGCTACAAAACTAATTTGCTAGAAAGCAAATTAATACAGTAGCACAGTTTTCAATAAAGCCAAAGAACCCAGTTACTAGGACTCACTATTCAGCAAAAACTTCTTAGAAATTTGGAAAGCAACCTGAATGAAATGAAGTACAAACCAATGTCTTAGACCATAAACCAATATAATCTCCAACTGGATACATTCAAAAATTAAAAGAGCAATAAAGAAAATATCTTTAGTAATTATAAAGAATTTATGACCAAACAAGAGATAAAAGTTCACAGAAGATAAAATGAACAATTTTTCTTTACATAAAACTGAAAAATTTTTGAAGTGAAGGGAAAATTAGAAGGGAAAAAAGTTAACTGAGAAAATATCTTTGCAGTAAATTTCTCTGATAAATATCTGATATTTAAGATACATGCAGAGAATTCACTCAAATATATAACAGCCATTCCCCAATAGATATTAACAGGTCAAAGGATATTAACAGGGAGTTTTCAAAGGAAGAAAAATCCATGTGATCAACACATATATGAAAAGATGCTCTAAATAAGTAATAAGATAAATTTAAATTACATCACTCTGAGGTCTTACCTCACACTTATGAGATTGGCAAAAATATAGAAATAACAAAAGAAAAAATGGCAAATGTTGGAGGGACAGAGGAAAAACAGGCATTTGTGTACTTACTGATGCAGTTATAAATTGGTCCAGCCATCCTGTAAAGCAATTTGACACTGTTCCCAACATGTCTAATCTATGCATACCGCTCTGCCTCAGCAATATCACTTATGCCTCAAAAAAGATCAGGAGAGGAAAAAATCTTGTATGTACAAAAATATTTATAGGAAATCTTTCTGTCATAGCAAAGAACTTAAAAGAAATTGCCATCAATTGGGGAATGGATAAACAAACTATGACATATGGATATATTAGAATATTATTGTGCTATAAGAAATAACGAAAGGTAGAGTTTCAGAAAACCTAGGAAAACTTGTAAGAACCAATAGAGAATAAAGTGAACAGAACCAGGCAAACAAATAATACAATAACAACATTGTTAAAAAAAATTTTTAAAGACTTAAGAATGCTGAACAATTGAAAGAACACTCACATCTCCAGGGGACCAACAATAATAAAGCAGGTTATTTACCTGCTGACAAAGGTGATGGATTCAAGAAGCAAACACAACCAATTATGGATTAATTTTATGTAATTATGCTTATTTGTTATAAGGGTTTCTCATTTTTCTAAGTGGGAGTAGGAAATTTCAGAAGGTGGGGTTTGTAATAATCACCCCCCCCAAGAAAGCCATTAAGGCATTTAAAGGAAATGTACAGAAGAGCAAGTGAAAAGTTCAAAAGTATAACAATGAGGAGTTTTGAAAGTAACTGGCTGAATTTGTTTAAAAAAAAAAAAGGTCATATGTAAGAGTTTCCACAGATTCATATACAATCACCTTTTTAGGTTCCACTACTTATATTAAAATACTACATTTTTGGGGGCAGCTAGGTGCTGCAGTGGATACAGCACCGGTCCTGAAGTCAGGAGACCTGAGTGCAAATTCGGCCTCAGACCAAATACTTGACTCTAGCTGTATGACCCTGGGCAAGTCACTTAACCCTGTCTAAAAAAAAAAAAAAAAAAAAAATGCTGCATTTTTCCCTTTTGGTGTTTAAATGCAGAATAATTAAAAAGTAAACAGTATTGGTTCTGGGGCAAAGTATGAGATAATGATGAGGCCACATGAATAATGTAAAGAGCAAAGTTAATGAGACTGTGAGTGCAAAGTTCTGAATTACTATCTGGACTCTGCCCATAATTAGCTAAGATCCAGAAAGCAAATCATTCTACCTCTTAGTCTCAGTTTCTTCAGTAAAATAAAGGGATTAATGACCTTTAAAGATGTGTTCTTGATTTAAGATCCTCCGTCTCTTTATGCTATCTTATACATAGTTTTAGCAAAATACTACTTGCTAAAGCTGTTCTAAAATTAATGCCTACAATGACTGGAAATGGGAAGAAAGATGCAAGTAACAAAAAAATAAACAGAAAACGAGCTTCTTTATAATCTTTTCTTGTCTTTTTCCCTTCTGATCTCTCTCTCCCCCTACGCTATTCCTTCTCTTGCTCCTCAACCATTTCTACTTCTCTAAAGCTTAAAAAAAAAAAGAATATAAAAGATAGCTTTCCATGATATCAGAAGCTACACAGGAGGTGGCTCATACTTTTTCAAAGCATTAAGTAATTACATAGGGACGAGGATTGTAAGACAAGCATGATATGGCTAGACAGACAGTTAGACTTCCTGTTTGTGTCCTAGAGGTCCCAGGCCTCTGTACACAAGGAACTTTTGCCATACAGCTCAATTATAAATAGTGCCTACTAATGAAAAAGGTGGAGGAAGAACAATAGAATGACAGTTAAATGTACTTCTCAACTCTGAACTAGAAGTCAAATAGTCTATACAATACAATACCAGAGATATTAGTTTTACATATAGCAAATGCAAGGATCCTTTAATATGGTAAACATTACTATACAAAAGATATTATTTTACTAAAGACTTATCTAGGGGAAAAAGGAAGGAAAAACTACTTAGTAGTTTAGGAAACTAGTAAAAGGCTTACATATTATATAAAATAAATTGTGATTTTTTTCTCATGTACTACTGAAAATATTTTTCTTAGCAATAATTAGTTTTTAAAATGTCTATATATGTCTTAGACAAAATTCTATGGGAATTAACCCATAACTCTTTAGCTAGAAAGCATATGAACTAAGTCTTTTATCTAGAAAATAAGTATTTCTCATTAACATATAAAAAGTAACTGCTGGAATATAAGAATGGAATCATATGTCTTATTAACAATAAACACTACAATATATTTAAATGGCAACTAAGTTTCATTAACAGTATCTGTCAAGATGTAGGGTTGGGGTGTGATGGGTTACATGAATTTTAGTCAATTTAGGCCTGTAACCTAATTAATTTTAATATACCTATTATATACATACATATAAATACACATACATACATATTTATACACACACACACACACATATATGTATATGTATATATACCTAAGACTTTGGATAGTATGTTCATCCCCCCCATGTCACTTAACTTCATAACTTTTGATTAATATTTCAACTCTGTGACAGTGGCGTTTTATTTTTATTTTTTTCAGTCAAAAGGCTTTAGGTAAGCAGCTTTGGATTATACTTTGGCTATCACAGAATTCCAGCCCAGATTTTTGAAGTAAACTACTTCTAACAAGGGCTGGGAAGGATATTCAACCAGAGCAAATCCAATGAAAAAGATTTTGAACTGAACAGAAATGGCAGTGCTAAAACTGCCTATGACTATACACTAAGCTAGATACTACAGAAAACAACTTCAACGTTAAAAAAAAAAACTGAGAAATACAAGCTGTAAAACCAAATTCAAGAATCCTGTAGGTGGCTTACTCCTAACACTGGAGCTTACATGCCCACAAAGGTGTGCTTCCCATTAACAATCAGTAGTAGACTCTACTAGCTCTTTAAAAAAGACATTTACTCAAATGGTATAGCAAAAACAATAGTTACATAACATTTTCCCAAAATATCTGAGGTATGTTCTTCTCCAAATACACACACACAGAGTTCTTGGGATGGGAGCAGGAAAAGTAAGCTTGAATGGTAGTGAAGCACATATGTAGGAAAACCATGTAGCAACACTCCCCAGTACTGCCAGCAAAATATAATTGAGAAATGTTTAACAAAACAAATAAAAATACATTAAAATATAAAAAAAAACTTACCATTAGAGAAAAAAGCTAATTCTCCAAGAAGCTCTTCTTGTTTAGATGCATCAACAACATAGTCTTCAAAAGATGTCTGAGCTGCTGGCCTGAAGGTCTTTAAAGACTCAGTAGCTTTTTGGATTCTACAGAAATGTTCAGAAATAATTTAATATCAAAATGTTTTAAAACTAAGTATATTTTTTGAAGTTTGCTTAGGATCTTTGATAAGAAAGGCCCCTTTTCAACCTCTGAACAATTAAAATTAAGTGTACAACATTTCAAAAATATAAACATAACTATGAAAGAGAAAGGCAAAGTATCACACCTATCTTATAGATCAAGAAATTAAGACTGATGGAAATTAAATGACTTGCTCCTTCAACATGATAAAATATGTCAATGCTAATGTTGAAGGAAACACTTACTTTGAAACCTTCATCAAAAGCTTTTAAAGTTAAATGTAAAAATGATACCTGAGGTGCAGTTGTTTTGCCGTTTGAACAAAGCAAGACTGATCTGTCTCTTTAAGCACTTCTTGAGCATATCCTACAAGCCCATTATTTTCCAAAAGTCCCTGATACTCTTCCATTTGCGTCTGTAACTTGTCTAATCTTAATTTCTTTGAAACATCAATTGCTTTGATAATAGAAGATTTCTTCTCCTCCAGAACTTCAAAGAGTTTGTCAAAATGTGAAGTTGCTTCTTCTTTAGCCCTCTCTCCGTTGCACTGTTTGAAAGCAAAACTTTATTAAAACACTGCAAAGATCCTAAAGAATTAAATTACAGTTGGTCTACAATGTCAAAAAAAGTACTAGTTAATTCAGATGATACTATTTTCAAAAGAATTAACATTACAGAGGGAGAGGAGATCAAACTAAGAAGTTTCTTTGGCAGAGAAAAAAGCAATATAATACACTTTATGATTTTTAAAATAACTAGTATTTCGGCATCATACAGAAGTAGGATATGTAAAGTCAACAAGAAAGCAAAGGTGACACTGCTGCTTAGTTTTTACTATATATAATTTTGAATTCTCTATTGCCATCTCTGAATTTTCCATAATCAAAATCTAACAAGACAATACATTCTTTATAAATGATGTATATGATGAGAAAATTATATTTTGCTTTGAACAGTGTGTCATGAACATTCCTTTAATCCAAATTCACACTGCAAACTTTTCTTTAACACCACAATTAACTTTTTGATTTAGACCCTTGACCTGATACTTCCCTTAATGGGGGGACAGGAGGTTGGGGTGGGGGAGGAGAGGGAGAGGACCTATGCAAAGTCAACAACCTATTGATGAGCAGATCAATTAGTCTTTTTTCCCAAATATTTTACTTTTTTCCAATTACATGTAAAAATAATTTTACCAGGGGGCAGCTAGGCAGTGCAGTAGATAGAGCACCGGCCCTGAAGTCAGGAGGACCTGAGTTCAAATCCAGCCTCAGACCAAACACTTGACACTTACTAGCTGTGTGACCCTGGGCAGGTCACTTAACCCCAACTGCCTAAAAAAAAATAAAAATAAAAAAAAAGGGGGGCAGCTAGGTGGTGCAGTGGATAGAGCTCCAGCCTTGGGGTCAGAAGGACCTGAGTTCAAATCTGGCCTCAGACTAAACACTTAACACTTACTAGCTGTGTGACCCTGGGCAAGTCACTTAACCCTAACTGCCTAAAATAAATAAATAAAAATAAATTTTTTTAAAAAGGGGGGGGCAGCTAGGTGGCGCAGCGGATAGAGCTCCAGCCTTGGAGTCAGAAGGACCTGAGTTCAAATCTGGCCTCAGACACTTGACACATACTAGCTGTGTGACCCTGGGCAGGTCACTGAACCCCAATTGCCTCACCAAAAAAAAAAAAAATAATAATTTTAACATTCATTTTGAGCTCCAAATTCTCTCCCACTCTCCACGTTCTCCCCCCTTAATGAGAAGGCAAGCAATTTGATATAGGTTATACATGTGCAATCATATAAAATACATTTCCATATTAGTCATGTTGTGAAAGAAAACACAAACTAAAAAACAAAACAAAACCAAGAAAAATAATATAAAAAAATTATGCTTCAATCTGCATTCATACTCTATCAGTTCTTTCTCTAGAGGTGGACAGCATTTTTCATCTTAAGTTCTTTGGAATTGTCTTGCATCATTGTATTACTGAGGATAGCTAAGTCATTCACATTTGATCATCCCACAATATTGCTATTACTGTGTACAGTCTCCTGGTTCTGTTCACTTCACTTTGCATCAGTTCATATAAGGCCAGGTTTTTCCGAAAGTATCCTGCTTGTCATTTCTTATAGCACAATAGCATCCCATCACAATCATATACCACAATTTGTTCAGCCATTCCCAGATCAATAAATCTTAGCAGCTGCCAAAATTAACTATAATAAAATGACTCACCCAAGGTCTCACAGCTAGTAAGATGATACCAAGCAGGAGGACTAGGATAGTGGTGCCCTAAACAGTAATAAGGAAATTTGGAAGGGGAGAGGCTTTAGGGGGAAAGGAAATGAGTTCATTTTTGGACATGTTGAGTTTAAGATGTCTACAGGACATCCAGTTTGAGATTTCTAATTGGCAGCTGGAGATGTGAGACTGGAAGTTAGAAGAAAGGTTAAGGTTGGATAAATCAATTTGCAAATCAATATAGATATGATCATTTAAACCATGGAAGCTAATGAGATGACCAAGTGAAGAAGCATAGAGGGAGAAGGCCTAGGACAGAGCCCTGGTGGGACTCTTTTATAATTACTAATCAGGGTTAGAAAATAATTTTTTTTCTTATATAAAATGGGAAACAATCCTTACTAATATAACCTACAAAAGCAGTTAAGTCAAAGGTACAGAGAGGTTAAATAATTTGTAGAGAATCAAAACAAATTCTCTGGATTTCAATCTCTTGGTTGATGAATTTCTCTAAAGTAGAACACAGCATGCAAGTAGAACTAACCCACTGTAACCAAAAACAAAAACAAAAAAGTTTTATGATAAAAGATCATTTAATGAAATGCTTATTGAATATTTGATATATACAATCAATTATTAAGCATTTAATGTGTCATCTATTGGCCTCTCTGCCTTCCAATACCAAATCCTGGTTTTCATCCAATCCCTTTGACTCCTCAGTTCTCTCCCAGGCCATCATCACCTCTGTCTTCACTATCTCATTCTCCTGCTTTCCCCATCTTGGCCCTTTGATGAACCACTTCAAATTTATACTATCCTCTTCTATCAAGTCCCTTGCCTCTTTATCATATCGCCAATTATGCCCTACCAAGTCTCATATTTGGATAATTCCTATCATCTGCTGTCTGTGCTCCTACATGTGCTGCTGATTGAAGGAGAAAATCACACAACCATTCTAATTGGATCCACTGCAAATTTATGTATATAAACTCAACTGGGCCCTCACCATTACTTGGCAATCCTTTCACATCTCCCTAATTAACTCACTATCCCAATCATAGCTGTTCTTACAAACCTTTACATCCTTCCTCAAACCTCCCAGGTCCACCCATGCTCCCACCCTCTCAACTGAAAACCTTGCCTTATATCTTACTGAAAAAACTGAAGCATTTGCCAAAAACTCCCTCTTCTCCCCACCCCCTCATTTCATCATTCAGATACGTTTTGCCACTATCACCTCTTTCATCTCTGTCTCACATGAACAATTGGCCCTTCTCTTTGCCAGGGCAAACCCCTCTACCTGCACAAATGATCTCATTCTATCCCTTCTACTCCAACAGATTGTCACCTCTATCATCCTCACTCTCTCACTTATCTTCAATCTCTTCCTATCTACTTCTCAGTAGATGGGCTGCTAACTACTGGAGGCCCATGTCTCCTCCATCTTCAAAAAATTCTCATTTGATCATTTTTCTCCAACAGCTATCATCCCATATCTCCTCTGCCTTTTGTGACTGAACTCCTTGAAAAGGCTGTCTACATTGGTGCCACTATTTCTTTCCCTTTGCTCTTCTCTTAATTCTTTACAATCTGGTTTCTAACCATACCATTCAACTGAAATTGCTGTCTCCAAAGTGATCTCTTAATTGCCAAATCAAATGTTCTTTTCCCCATCTTTATTCTTTTTTTTTTTTTAACCTCTCTTTGACACTATGGATTACCTTCTTCTCTTTGATACTTCTCTCTAGGTTTTTGGGACTCTACTGCTGCATGGTTCTCCTCCTACATGTTGACTCCTCCTTCTCTATCTCCTTTGCTGGATCTTTATCCCACTAACTGCCCACTAACTACAGATATCCCACAGGGCTCTGTACTGGGTCCTCTTCTTTTCTCTCTCTGTACTACTTCACTTGAGGACCTTACCAGCTCCTACAAACTCAATTACCACCTCTATGCTGATGATTCCCAAATGTACTTATCCAGCCCTAACTTCTCTGCTGGCCTCCAGTCTTGCATCTCCAGCTGCCTATTGGACATCTTGAACTGGATGTCCCACAGACATCCTAAACTCATCATGTCTAAAACTGAACTCATTATTCCCACACATAAGCATTCTCCTCTTCATAATTTTCCTATTACTATGGCCACCAACACCATCCTCCATCACCCAGGCTCTCAACCTAAGTGTCATTCTGAAATCTTCACTCTCTCCCATCACCCCTCCCAATATCCAATCATTTGCCAAGTCTTGTTGTTTCTCATGGAATACCTCTCGAATATACTGCCTTCTCTCCTCGCACACTGCCACACTCTGACACAGGTTCCTATCTCCTCACAACTGGACTATTGCACTAGTCTGCTGGGGGATCTGCCTGTCACAAGTCTCTCCCCACTTCCGTCCATCCTCCATTTAGCTGCCAAAATATTTACCTAAAGCACAAGTCCAACCATGTCACCCTCCTAACTCAAGAAACTCCAATGGCTTCCTGTCAACTGTAGTTTCAAATACAAAATTCTCTGCTTGGCACTCAAAGCCTTTCACAGCCTAGAGTGCCCCACCCCTTTCCAGTCTTCTTATATTTTACCCTCCCTCCTCCCTCAACATACTCTTCAATCCAGTGACACTGGCCTCCTTAACGATTCCTTGAACAAGACACTTCCAACTCTTGGCTCCAGGCATTTTTCTGTAGCTGTCACCCATGCCTGGAGTGCTCTCCCTCCTCATCTCTGCCTTTTGACTTTCCTGCCTTCCTTCAAGTCCCAGCTAAATTTTCACTTCCTACAGGAAGTCTTTCTCAATCTCTCTTAACTCTAGTGCCTTCTTTTTGTTAAATATTTCCTATTTATCCTATATGTAGCTTGTTTGTATATATTTGCTAGTTTTTTTCCCCATTAGATTGTGAGCTCCTCGAAGGCAGGTACTGTCTTTTGTCTTTTGGTACACACATTGATTATTACTGTGCATGGCATATAGCAGATACTTAATACATGCTCATGGACTGACAGCTATCTTCCAGGCAAAGAGCCTAAAAATACTAAGACAAAAATGATAATAATCTTTTCTCCCAGGCATCTTACATTCTATTTAAGGAGATAACTTGTACATAAATAAGCACTTACAAAACACACAAGATAAATACACTGTAAAAAGAGGTTTGTGGCAGAGAAAGGGTATGAGCAGCTGGTGGAATTAGGAAAGACTTCATGTAGAAGGTGATGCATGAACATAGTTTTAAAAGAAATAAAGGATTCTAAAAGGCAGAAGTGAGAAGGGCATGGAGATCAGTTAATGCAAAGTTGTAGACATAGAAGATGAAGTATAATGAGGGGGAATGGCAAGTAGAACAATTTTACTGAACCATGGAGTTCTAAAAAATAATATATAATGTATAATTAAAGTTGGAAAGATAGGTTAGCAACAGGTTGTGAAGGGCTTTAAAATCCAAAGGCACATACTGAATAGAGGAGTGACATAATCAGATCTACATTTCAGGAAAATCACTTTGGCAGGTATGTGAAGAATAGATTGTGGAGAGGAAAGATAAACTGCAAGGAGACCAATTATGAAACTATTGCGATAGTCCAAGCAAAAGGTACTGAAGACGTGAATTAAAGTATAGTGGTCATGTGAGTAGAGAGAAGAAGAGAATGATGCAAGAGTTTAGAAATGGGGAAAATGTGTCAACAGATTAAACATATGGTGGGGAGGAGGAGTAAGGAGTCAAATTTAACTCCTAACTTACAAATCTAGAAAAAGGGAGGTACTTTTGGGCCAGAAACAAGAAAGTCTAGAAAAGGGGTAGATTTAAGGGAAATATAATTAGTTCAGTTTGGGACATATTGGACCTGACATGACTGCAGTATATCCAGTCTAAAATGTCCAATGTGGAGGTGGAAATACTTGAAAGGGTTTAAACGTGAAACAAGGGAATATATACATGGCGCTTAAAAAGCAATATGCTAGTGATGGGGTGCGTGAGTGTCTGTGCTTGGACCCCAATTCCTCCCTGGCCTCAGAAACACTATCCCTGGCAGTTTCCCTCCAGCCCAAGGACCCTATCTCTGGCTATTAATAATCCATGAGAGGACCCAGTGAGGCAAACTATCTCTCCCTGTTACAAGAACAAGCTGGCTTCTATAGAATTTCCCTTGTACTATCTTGTATCAATAAAACTATCATGTACTGACTTCCTATTATCATGTATGATCCAGAGGTCAAGTTATAGACATCAATTCCTGAAACTATTTTGTTACAGACATAACAGATCAAAAATATACCCTTTAGGAACCCCCTCTTGCCCACTGTTCTGCCCTCCCCCCATTTCCAGTAGTGAATGATGCCTGTGACCAAGGTTGTATGTTATCACCTAATTAGCATACTTGACACATAATCCACTGCTTTTCCTACATAAGCTTTAGCATCATTCCTGTTAGGTTGCAGAATTCCCTAAGAAGCTCTGCCCACCATGGCAGTTCCTTGAGAATCCTTACCCACTATATAGCATAAAAATAAATCTTTGCCACCTTAACTTAAAAAATGCTTGAGTCTGTGAATTCATTCCAGACAATCCTGTCCTATACTCCGGTCTTTGAGGGGGTGTCTGAACCTCTCAGACCACAATACTAGGTGTTTGGTGCATACAAAAATTATAATACAATATGTGCCCTCATGGATTTATAAATCTAGTTTGGGAAATCAGATAAATACATGAAAATTAAAATTATACTTAAAAGTTTTTTTTTTAAATAATTCATGACAAGTATGAACTGAGATAGGTAGGGTAAGTACAGTATTCATTATGGTATCATGTCAATCATCACCCCATACAACTACCTGTTACTCTATCCTATGAGATAAGATTCTATTCTATTAAAAAAAACCCTACCCCTATATCCAGCCTATTCTTAACAGGCAGAGATCAGTATAGAGTTTTCACATCTCAAAGGAGAAATCACATTTTTAAAAGGAAGTAGAGTGTACAATAGATGCAAAAACAACATTTATAGTTTTGTAAATAAACTGTACTGATCACTTCTATTATATTTCAAAATGCCATCTGTGGTGGAGTTTTTTTACGAAAGGGGTACAATCAAAATCCATTTCCCAAATAAGATGCCAAAAGTAGTTTAAAACTTACCTCTGTTTCTTTCATTAGCAAGTTCAATTCTGATATCTGGCTTTTAACTTGGCTCTCCTTGCCAATAAGGTAATCAATGTCCTTTGAAAGCTTTTCCTGTTAAAATATAAATACCCTGCAAATTAACAAAATTTTAAAAGTATAATTAAAAGGTCTTAGAGATAAAAGAAAACAGGTGATAATCTATTTACCTTCCCCTAGAAGTCTGTATTACATGGCTAATAAAAATCAACTACTCACCTATTAAAATCTATCACTGCCCTGAATACACAGGGTCATAGATGTTTAAAAAAACAAACGTAGTAAAAAATAAATGTTCAAATCAATTCAATTCAATAAATATTTATTAAGCACCTACTATGTGCCAGGCACTGTGCATTTTATTAGAGGTCTCAGTTTACTAAGAATCAATTATTAATTCCTTAGCTCTACCTTCTAAGACTTTTAAGTGAAGGAAAAAAAAAAAAAACATATTTCTTTTCTATAAAACCAGGTTTGCTGGCATCCCAGAGTTAACCTCAGCCTATGATACATTTTTAAAGTTGAATTATTAACCAATCAATAAACAAGCATTTACTAAGCACCACAATGCCAGGCACTGTTCTAGGCTCTGGGGTTAAAAAAATAAAATCAAAAACAGCTCCTGATTTCAAGGAACTTGCAATCTAGCTCGTGGAGACACACACACACACACACACACACACACACACACACTATATATATATATATATATATACAGGGGAAGGAGCTGATCAGGATATTCATAAGCCAGGGGTGGGGAACCTGCAGCCTAAAGGCCACAAGTGGCCCTCGAGGTCCTCAAAGGCAGCCCTTTGACTGAATCCAAACTTTACAGAACAAATCCCCTTAATAAAAGGATTTGTTCTGTAAAACTTGTACTCAACTCAGTCAAAAGACTATACCCAAGGACCTAGAAGGCCACATGTGGCCTCAAGGCCGCAGTCCTCACCCATTAAGCAACTGATTTCACCTCCTGTCGCAGTTGGAACAAAAGGGACAGGAAACAAAAATAACAAGGTGCTAATGTTTTAAAGAATGTGCAAAGAAAGGTTCTAATTTTGTTACCCTTTTGTGAAGTGTGAAGAATTTAGGACAAGTAACATCCCTGATGGTCAAAAAGAAAAGGATACAGTCTCTAAAGACAGAAAGTCAGCAGAGGCACCATGGAGGAGAGTGTCTCTGGAAGAAATGAAGATAGCTACCTATGGATTCAAGACACAATGAGCCCTGACAGAAGAATCTAGCTATGAAAAATGAGGACACATCAAGAAAATGTAAAGGAAATTGGGACCCTAGCACGCTGGAGCTGTGAACTGCCTTGGTCCTTGTTCCCTACACATTGCCTCACTACCAGTATACCTTATATAGCTCACTCTTCCCACAGACAATCACTTTGGCAGCTACGTAAAGGATGGACTAGAGTGGGGAGAGATTTGAGGCAGGGAGATCAATGAGGAGCCTATTGTTATAGTCCAAGGGCATTCTGAGGTGGTGGTTTTGTGATGAATGAGAAGAGAATGAATACAAGAGATGTTACAGAGGTAAACTGGGCAAGATTTGGCAATGGAATGGATATGTGGAGTAAGTGAAAATAAGGATTTGAGAACACCAAGTTTGTAAACCTAGGAGAGTGTTGTCCTTGACAGAAACAGGAAAATTAAGGAAGAGGGATAAATTTCAGGTAAGTGATAATGAGTTGTGTTATAGACATACTGATTTTGAAATATCTATGGGACATACAGTTTGAAACGGCAACTAGTGACATGGGACTGAAGCTCAGGAGAGAAATGGCCTGGTTATACCAAGAAGTCAGTTCCATAGGGATAACCTATGACAGCTAATGATCTCACCTATTGGATGGTGCTGGAAAACACCACAATCAGGTGGCCAATGGATGACAAGCCACTAAAGGAAGCTAAAAGTGACAGGAAGAGAAAGTAATGTCATAAAAACCCAGAAAGAGTATGCAGTGTCTGAAGATGGTGGAGTACATCAGAAAATACCCAGGCTAAAGTGGCAAAAACAAACTAAAATCAGGGTAAAGCAGCTGTCCTCCTAAGATAACTTAAGAGGACCTAAGGAAAGATTGGACCTCCAGGGGCATAAGTTTGTCCATACTAAAGTGCAAAAACCTCCGGGAAGACTCCACTGAATAAAGAACAACAAGCCTCAGGGCAGCTGGGTCTAGGAGGCAGCCTCTGCCTCAGGAACTCTCATTTCATGGACAGGGTGAAGGGTTACACAGCTGAACAGGGGAAGACGGGAGGACCATCCACTATCACTGGACACCAGGCCCAGATGTGCTGACCGGTCCTGGGCAATAGCTGTGGGTGAGGAGGAGCAAGCACACACCCAGTTAACGAGGTAGCAGAGGGGCAGGGACCCTGCTGGAATTGGGCACTTGTAGGAAAGCAGAATTCCTGTTGTTTCATTTCCAGGGTAGAGGGGAGAGCTGAAGTTTGCACCCGAGGGAGGGACTACATGGAACAAGAACATTTGTGAACCAGTATGGCTGTGGGACCTAGCCATGGCTTAAGGGCGGAGAGGAGTGCCTAAGGTTAGGCCTCAGACAGAGCTCAGAAAATAACAGTAAGAAGGACCTGAGGCCTGCGGCCCCGTTCCCCACATCTCTGGACTAGAATCTGATTACAATAAGAAACTGCTAAAAATAAAATAAAACAAAATAAAAATAAAGATGAGTAAGCAAAGGAGAAAGAACCCAATCATAGACAGGTGCTATGGGGATAGAGAAGATCTGGGTTCTTATTCAGAGGAAGACAGTGAAGTTAAAAAAGTGACTTCAACTTTAAAAAGAAATGTCAAATGGTCACAAGCCCAAAAAGAGTTCTTGGAAGAACTTTAAAAGGACTTCAAAAATCAAATAAAAAAGACTGAGGAAAAATTAGGGAAAAAATAAAAACAATCCTAGAAAATCAAGAAAACTATGAAAAAAAGCCAACCAACTGGAAAAAGAGATCAAAAAACACATAAGGAAGAAAATAACTTCTTGAAAACAAAAACTGGGCAAGGGGAAGCTAATGACATCATAAGATAATATAAGAAATATATAAATATATAAATATATATATTATATAAATATATATATTATATAATATATATTATATAAATATAAGAAATAATAAATAAGAAATATAAGAAATAATAAAACATAATCCAAAGAATGAAAAAATAGAAGAGAATGTGAAACATCTCCTTAGAAAAACAACTGATCTGGAGAACAGATCAAGGACAGACAACATAAGAACCGTTGGACCACCTGACAGTTATAATTAAAAAAAGAGTCGATACAATATTACAAAAAATTATTAAGGAAAATTCCCTTAAATTTTAGAACAAAAGAATAAAATGTAAATAGAAAAAATCCACTGATCACCACCTGAAAGAGATCCCATGATGAAAACTTACAGGAATATCATAGCAAAGTTTCACAACTCCCAGGTTAAGGAGAAAATATTTTAAGCAATAAGGAAGAAAAATTAAATACTGTGCAGCTACAATCAGAATAACATAAGATCTAGCAGGTTCTATACTAAAAGACCATAAGTCTTGGAACACTGTATTTTCAAGAGCAAAATAGCTGGGGCTGTGACTATTTGTATCCGCAGCGTTTAGCACAGTGACTGGCACTGAATGTTTTTTTTTCCATTCATTCAAGAGTCAAGACCTACCTTTAAGGTTTTATAGGCACTGCTAATGGTGGTTACCCGATGGTTTGAATGATTACCACCTAACTTACAGAGATGGCAAACTGGTCTTCTACATAATTCACAGTACATGTTTACTCTCTCCATTTCATGTTCTGGGCACATTAAAATCTGTTGAGAAAAATGAAGCATAAACATGAAGAAAGGTTGTCTAAAATTACCTAAATTAAAAGAAGCAAAAACATTATAAAACCCAAGCAAAATTGTAGCTATTTACACACATTGCTTTAAGTTTTAAAAAGCATTTTATATATTATTTTATTTGATCCTCACAAAACCTATACGTGGACCTATGATTTCCTTGATATAAGGAACTCCCAAATGAGGAGATTCTCTCTACCAATGCAAGTAAATACCTTCTCTGCGCTGAAAGGTTCACTGACTTGCACAAGCTAACACAAACAATATGTGTCAGAGGGGGTGCTTGAACCCAGATTTCTCCTGGTTCCAAGACTAGCATTCTTATCTACTATTCCATATTACCTCTCACAAAAAGCAGACAATCATTAATAACTGAGAATAATTCTTTTACAATAATAAAATAATTCATGTAAATAAATGAACAGATTATTTAGAAGGTACTTGAAATTAAGAGAGGTAGATGAAAGAAGTTCAGCCACAGGTGTGTTTTCTACATAAATATTTGTATTCTTTCTTAGAAAAAAAAAGTCTTATTTAAATAAACCAGTTAACAGACCCAAATTGTACTTGATCAGCATATTTCCAACAAGTTAAAACATTCATAGTTTAAAATATAATAGAAATAATTTAATATAATCTAGGATTGTCAACCTTAACTACCAGACCTTTTTATTTTTTAAATAGACACAATCATAATAAACTACTCAAATTTAAAGTTGTGAAGTTAAAATTAGGAAGAAAAGAATATATCTAATTAGAAAGTCCTCAGCATTCCAAAGTTCCTCCCTAAGTATTGCTAAGAATTAAAACTTCACTTTTGGGGCCGCTAGGTGACACAGTGGATAGAGCACCAGCCCTGGAATCAGGAAGACCTGAGATTTGAACTCAGATACATAACACTTACTTGCTGTGTGACTATGGGCAAGTCACTTAACCCCAACTGCCTGGCCAAAAACAAAAACAACCTTCACTTTCAAAATATAAGGTGAACCTTTTTTTTTTTTTTAACAGAACCAAGAAAATCTAAAATTATGAATAAATGGGCAACAATTAAAATTTCAGCTTGACATACAATAAAGCTTTTAAAATGGGAACCTCTTAGCCATATAATGTTAAAATACTTGAGGAAAAGAACTTGCAGAGAAGTCAACATATTTACTATACTCCTGATTCTTCCAGATTTCGTCTTCAATCCCCGAGAAACTTCATCTTGAAAGCTCTGTCCACACCTGGACTTTACATACTGAAAGTATCCTTCACCCCTGTGGCTTCTACCTCTGATTGGCTCATTTTTCCTAGAACCTCCGTTTTAAGGTGAAGGCCCAGACCAATAGTATGTCTGTTTCATTCTTTGCATTTGTATCCCAAACACCTGCGACAGTGCTTTCTTAAGCATTAAAGGCTTAACAAATGCTTGTCAATTGACTGAAGGACAAATTAGTTTTACCTGATTTAGTACAAAGTGCTAACCGATCTATTATTGCCCAAGTTTGGGGTGGGGGTGGGGATATTGTTTTTAAATAAAATAGCTTGATTAATTTGAAAGCAAAGCTTGTCAGGTTTTTTTTTCACCCTACATTACTCAAAGTAAATTTTTCATATGCCCCATAATTTAAGGGACAATTTCAGTACCTCTGTCAGGTTCTAAGTATATTACTTTAATTATACATATATACACCATTATAAATGAACACACACATATATATATATACATACATACACACATATACATATATACTCACATATACATATGTATGCATGTATACACACCCCTAAATACTTTAGCAATAATTATACTGATAAAGCCAATAAGTTTAGATATAAAAAGCACTGGATTTGAGAGACTACCTGGATTCTAACCCAGACTCTATCACTTACTAAATTTTTTGCACATATCAATCAATCAACAAACAAACATTTATTAAGCACCTGCTCTGTGTCAGGTACTGTGCTGGGTATTGGGGACATAAATACAAAGAATGAAATAATCCCTATTCTCAAGGAATTCTGAGGGAAAAAAATAAGTATATAATAAGTATATACAGAATATAAAAAGAATAATTCCAAATAAATACAAGGTAGTTAGAAAGGGAACAGTTGAGAAGAGCAGGAAAGAATGTGGTGCTGACTAAGCTTCTTTTTTCTTTGTAAATGGGTATATAATCCTTATACTATACTACCTAGTCAGAGGGCTGTTCTAAAGATCAAGTTAAATAATGTTTTAAAGTATTATACAATTTTCAGCTATTATTATAATGATGATAGATCACCTATAGGCTTACAGAGGGAAATGAAGCTTTATGTCAAGCACTTGAAATCGAACAGTGTGTTGTGATTAAAGAGCTGGACTTGGAGTTGGGAAGACCCGGGTTCAAATCGTATCTACTATACTACTAGCTGTATGACAATGAACAAGTCTTTTAACCTGTCTGTGACTCAGTTTCCTCATCCATCCCTGTCAATTCTAAACCTATTATGTATGCACCTATGAGCCATGCAAATAAACTAAGAATTATGACTAACTCTTAATTCCTCTGTAGTGACTGGGCATGCAACTGTACCCCAAAAAAGTCTCTAAATATTTCCAGTCCCAAATCCCAATCCCTACACTTAGGATATGTCATGTCCTTGTTAAAATATAGACAAAAAAACTGATTAACACTGCAATTTATTATGTTATCCTTCCCACCTTTATCAAAATCCCACTTACCTTAGGTCTAAAATTAGTGGTTGGGCCTACATACTCATGCTGAGCTTTTACAGTGCCCCAAGGATGATATATTTTGAAGCATTCATTACAGTAGCTTGCACTGCAGTCCATGCAACTTTTAGTGGATTCTTGAGGTGGAGGTTTGCAGAGGTCACACATAATGGCCGTAGCTGCCCTAGCTGCCTGTCGGTATCTTTCCACAATCGTTTCCAAAGTGAAATTTCGAAACAAACCATTGATTCCACGCTCTCCCAGGTCAATATCATGCTCACAACCAGGACAAGGAAAAGTGGTCGTCCTAGGAGTCAATGAGTTGCGTTTCCAGCCTGAATAATTGATCATTCCTAATGTTTAGTTATAGTAGTGGGAAGATGATTAGAATGACAAAACACAGAATGAAAAAGGTTGCAAGAGAAAAATGTGTGTACACTGCGTACACCAAATACAAAATACTGAAAGGAATAACATATATAAGTCAATGCAAATTATGCAAACATTTTAAAAAATAGCTTTCTATTGAACTTTCCTTCTATGCAAAAGATCAAATACAAAAAACACCTGTATTTTCCAAAACACTTCGAGTCAAGGAAGAGCACCTGAAATATCCTCACAGAAGGATCTTGATAAATATTTTTGATGATGCTGAATAAACTTTACAAGCCCTGCACACATTGTATATACTGTATATAGCTTGCTTTGTATATACTTGTTTGCATAGTTTCCAATTGGATTGTAAGCTCCTTGAGGGCAAGGACTGTCTTTTGCCACTTTTTGTATCCCCAGCATTTAGCACAGTGCCTGGCACAAAGTAGGCAGTTAATAAATGTTTAATGATTCACTGAAGTCCTCAGCTCACTCACACTCATTCACACACTCTCTCTCTCTCTCTCTCTCACACACACACACACACACACACACACACAAACTAAATCTACCACATAAATATATAGCCATGTAAAATAGAGCCTTACTTGGTTGCATATGCAGCCCCATAACAGAAAATTCTAGAAAGTAGTTGCAGCACTCCTAATGCATATTCCCCTATTTGCCCAGAATCCCACTAGTTTTGGCTTTGAAAGGAATTCAGGTATCAAAGGAGTACTCATTAATGGTCATTGTACTGATCCTCAAAACATCCTAAAATAGCCCTACGCTAGTTCAGAATTCCTAATATTATACAGTAAGTACTGACTCCCATTCATTAGCCAATAAAATATTTATAAAATTTCAGTAGGTAGCGTGCTATTTTTAAAGTACAATCTACTGAAGGTTGTATAACACATTCACAATCATAAAAGTTAATAATTTTAACAAGGCCACAAAACATTTTCCTATGAGCGTTAAAAAAAAAGGATTTTACAAACGAAAATTTTAAAATGTCATAAAATATAGAATACATGGAATAGCACCTTCTGGTTCCCAACATTTAGGAACAATATTAATGGAAAGAGCTCTAGATTTGGAGTCAGAGAACTTGGCTTTGAATTCTAGCTTTTCTGAGCTTTGACACTGAGCAAGATACTTGACATGTCTGGGTTTTGGTTCCCTCATCTGTAAAATGAGGGAGCAGGAGAAGGATTGTTCTAAAGTCAGAGTATCTAAACCTTTTTTGTGCCATGGACCCTTCTGGCAATTTGATGAAGCTATAGACTCTTTCTCAGAATAATGTTTTCAAGTACATAAAATAAAATATATACAATTATAAAGGAAACAAACTGTATTGGAATAGTTTACATAAATAAAACTATATAAATATATAAATACATAATAATTTGAGGAGATTAACCTTATTTCAAAGTGGTGGCAACTTTTTTAAAATGTGGGGAAAAAATCTAAAAAGTTAAAGGCAGAGAAAGGCATTCATTCAAACATGCTTCATAACATCAGATTAATAAAACAAATGATAAATGCAAGCTTTAAAACACAACACAACAGTGAAAATATAATTTATGGTGCAGTGGTTCAGTTTCAAGAAATGAAACAAGAAATGTATTTTTAGTTTCACAGTTTCACCATGTAGAATAGATCACACATGAAAATGAAATGGATAATTGTGCAAAATAAATAGCTTTAAAATAATTACTTGTTAAAGCTCAAAGTTTTATTAAAAAATTAGAAAAAATATAATGAAATCATACTTTAAACAACATGTGCATGCAGCACACCATGCTTTTATTTCACTCCATGTTCAAAAAAGTCAGAATTTATTATAAATGTGTATCATTCCTTTTCCATAAGCCTCTCCTACTGTGCCTAATTTTTTGTCACCCAAAATTAAAGATTATAGCACAAAACTAACATTTTATAAAATAAGATGGTATAGTTGAGATGGCATAATAGGATGGCATAATGTTTGAAGCATCAGTCTATAAGTGAAAAATATATTTGATCAAGATATAGTGACTTTGAAACATTTTTAGTAGCTTTCTGAATATCACTTAAAATTTTTTAAAAATAATTTCCACTATAATAATTTATTTTATACTATATATTTAATAATTCAGGAATAAAAATAAGCATACCAAATCATGTTTTCAGGACCCTCAAAGCAGCAGAGTTGATCTAAAAGCATTGAGGAAAAAGCTCCAATAAAATTAGGCAATATGTCAATCAAGAAATTATATACACATAGAGAGACACACATACATTCTAACTTTCTTTCCTAATCTGGCTTTAAAGGGATGGACTGACTTCTGGGAGAATTCCATCTGTTTTACTATAAATACCTATAATATCTTGTACTAATGATATAGTGAACAACAAAAGTAATGACGTCTAGACTAAAAAGAATATGGAAGAAGCAAAAGAGCAATAATTCTACTATAGAAATTTCCACTATTATTTCCTTTTAGAAATTATTATGGTACTTTAAACAAGATGGCAACATACACTTCATTTGATATTCTTCATAATATACCTTAAAGCAATATTATAAAAGTGAGTTTATTAATCCCTTCCACTAGATTAAGTCCTTTAAGCGCAATGACTATTCATTTTTCATTTTCATTTGTGCACATTGCACAAATAAGTTAACAAGATACAAAACACACAATAAAATTTTGTTGAAATTAAGACATGCAATACTCTTTCGCCCAATTTTAACACATAAAACAATAATCTGGACACTAAGAAATTAATTCAATTTAAAACAAATTAAATGTCTAACTATATTGGAGATTCTAGGTCTAATATTATTATATTTTATTGTACATTATATACATAGTAAAAAGAGAATTTCTGGCTCAGGCTTCTTGCTGGCCCTATGATATGAGATAGATTGTGATGATAAAGAAATTCTGGTTCATACTTCTTCCCACCATTATAAGAAGAGGACACTGCCCTATTCTCTATTTTAAGCTTCTAGACATTGCTCCTGGAAGCTAGGTCATAATACCTGCAGAACTTTTCAAAGTTGGGAAACAAGTCACACTTCCAGTTTTGACCACCTTATCTTTCCCCTTCTGTTACTTGTTTCCAGACATGTATACCCTTATCTTTCCCTCCTACTTTTTGCAAAATTCCATTTTTCTATGTTGTTTACACATTCACATTCTAGATAAGGTTGCTGAAGCTGATACTCTGGGCTCACTGACTCCTGTATACGATCAGTTGAGCTTACATTGTGAGCATAATAATAAAACTGCAATTTACTATCTCTGCATTGTTAATTGGTGATTGACAAAAGTAACTAATCAATGGACACCTGAATAATTTTTATTTATTATCGATCCCAGATAGGAGAAACTAGGTCAATCAAGATCAAGTTTTCCAGACCAGTAACCCTCCACAAGGTAGATTTTATCTTGAGATAAAAAGGAAAAATTGCAGATAAAGGTTAGTATTTTGAACATTTGGTTCTTTATTATTTATAATTACTGTACTGTTTTAACTACCCTCCCCATCTGGTATGGTTTAGAACTGAGAAAAATCAGCCAGCAGTGGGGAGAGTACCTATCATTGAGGATATAAATCTGACATAAACTTCAATTCCACCCTGAGTAGTTGGATATCATTATGGAATCCTCAAATTCCAATAATTCTGGTCTAGTCTGTGGCAACTGCCTATAGATTGGAGTACAAAATTATTCCTGGTTGAATATATTTCCTATATGGGAACTCTGGTCTAGTCAAGCTGTTAAAAAAAAAAACTGTTTGGATTGTAGTAATGGCTGAAATACATCATCCTTGACCTCAGGGAGGATCTTCCGATTTTGAAATACTGTATATGCTTAGATTAACTGTTGAAGCTTTATACCAAATAAGCTCTCCCTAACATCTGTAATTGTTGTAATACTGATGCTTCTCAATAAACAGGGACTTCTACTGACCCTTTCATTAAACTTTCAATGGAAGATACATTTTTAAAACAGGCAGGAAAAAAGTGGGAATCTTTTTTGCCAAGAGTTTCAAAGCTGAAGATGGAGGACTAGCGACTGCTACTCTGCTGAAATTATCCCGATATTCCCCTCCAAATAACTTTAAAATGATGCCTCAAAAAATTTTGGAATAGCAGAGTCAACAAAAACTCAGGGTAAGGTAGTTTTCTGTCCCAAGAAAATCTGAAAGATCAGCAGAAGTCTGTGTCACCAGAGTGGAGGCCTATCCAGAGCCCACACACATATGGTGGTGCTAATAGCGGTCACAGGAGCAGCTCTGGGGGCTCTTAGTCCAGAGACTGTAAGGGGGTCAGACAATGGATCAGAAAGAAATTACAGGGGACCCTTTGCTGGCACTGAGTACAGCAGGCAATGACTGGCAACTTTATTGCCCACACGCAGTTCTGGGTCACAGTTCCATGGCACTAGGGGTTGATCGCAAGGAAGCAGGAGCCCTGGTTGCAGCTCTAAGACAAACATGAGCATTCACATGTGAAGCAGCAGGAACTAGCAGCCTTCCTTGGTAGACACCAGGAGAGCAGTGACCGTACCTCTCCCAGGATCACACACCATCCTGGAAGCACCCCAAACTTGAAGAACCCTAGAACTAGTCCTGAAAACTACAGCATGAAAAAAGCCTGAAACTTGGGACAGTGCCTAACCAACCCTAGGTGAGCAGAACTCAACTTAACATAAAATTGTAAGTCAAGAAATGGGCTAAAAAATGAGCAAAAAAAGAGAACATGACCTTAAAAAATTACTACAGTGACAGGAAAGATCAAAACACAAACTCAGAAGACAACAATATGAAAACAAATACCAAAAAAGTCTCGAAGAAAAATGCTAATGGGACACAAGCACAACAATAATCTCTGGAAGAGTTAAAGAAAGAGAGAAGAATGATAGAGGAAAAATTTGGAAAAGAAATGAGATAAGAAACGATGAGCAAGTTGATTTTAGAAAAACAA